AAGCCCTCCACTTAAGAACTTATGAATATTGGTTGCAATTCATACCTACAATTAAAAACCTGCGAATCAGCATAAGTGCACACACAGAATGCCCCATGTTATATGACAAGATCTCGTCAGCCAAACCTGTCAATCACCCTAGCCCCTCCTGCAAAGACCACCCATTTAATTACCCATTAAATGAAGATCAGGGCTGCTGTGCCATCTGGCCATAGCCCACCGCTCTCTCTGTGGCGTGTCCTCCTCCTTTCCCTTTCAATAAACCTTTGCTACTGCTTTGCAATCTGTGTCTTTGTCCAGTTCTTTGTTAGAGAGATGCAAGGACCAAGAGCTTCTCTACCAGGGTCTTCTGAAACCACCCACAGGTAGCACTAGGATTATTTGTGTGACCCACTCTACCTGGCTAGAATCACTGATTTAAAAAAAAAAAATGTGGTGATACTGGGTTTGAACTCTGGGCTTTGTCCTTGATAGGCAGGCACTCTGTGGCTTGAGCCTCACCTCTAGACAAATCGCTGACTTTTTAAACCACTTAGCTGTGGAGAGCAGTGTAGGAGAATCCTATGAGGACAGAACATGGAGCAGCTGCTTTTCCTGAGATGTTTATGTCAAATAATCTGTAGGCTGAGATTTGGCACAGCCCAGTGGAGAAGACAGTGAGAAGGCAAGACGCAGCTCAGCTGCTTTTCCTAAGTTAAGTTCAGAGAAGCAGGAATGCAGGTTTCTCCTGTTACAACGTCACACCCCTCCCTGAGAACCGTTGCTCCACCTCCTTGTTTACCACTGGATATAAAAGACTCCCTGGAGGACATGAGGCTTTTGGATGAAGGGAGGCTTTTGGAGGGGGGTGGGGTTGGCTGAAGGGAAATTGCTGGAGGGAGATTGCTGAAGGGAGCAAATGAATTGCTGAAGGGAAAAGAATTGCTCAAGGAGAATTGCTGAAGGGGAATTGCCAAAGGGAAATTGCTAAAGAGAGTTTGATAGAGTTGGTTGGCAGCTTGCGAGGGAATGGCTGCAAGTCTGAGGGCTGAGACTTTAAGAGAGATTATGCTAAAGAAAACTAAGAGAAAACATGGGACAGAGCGAGTCTAAGGAAAGAGACTTTAAGGAACAGAAAAGGAGACTTTTAGAAGCAAGGTTTTAAAGAATTGTAAAGGAATAAGGCCTTAAAGAAAGCATAGAGAAAATCAGAGTAAAGAGAAGAGAGTAATAGAGATAAGAAGTGATGAGGCTGTTATGTGTCTCTCCACCTGAGCGCCCATCACACTTGGCCCCAACTTTCTGTCTGTCTATCCTGAGTCCTTTCTGCAGCTCTCGCCGTCAGTTAGGCCCAGTTAGTTTCAGTAATAACCAGGAGCGCAGTTAACAGCACACACATACGTGCATACACACCACAGTAGAATGTGCTCCCAGCTGATACCCCTGGAGCTTATAGGATAGGTCAGGTGTTGGGCTAGGGACCCAGGATGAGCAAACACAGAGGTTCCCTCCTGCTTTGTTCAACTGGGGAGAGATGAAAACAAAAACCAGTCATTACAAAAATCAAATAATACCATAGCTATAAACTGTGACCACGGTTTCCATTTCTGGAAGTACAGGTGTCATGAAATATACCCCTCTCCCAGTGCTGTACTAATTCTGGATAAAAACCATTAAAAACTTAAAAAATGTGTAACTGAGCAAGCAAGAAAAGAAGAGACATTCTTACCCAGAATAGCCAAGAGTGGGAAATACGAGCACTACAGAAGACAAGGGCAGTCAACTTAAAACACATCTTACAGGGACAGAGGGGACAGGGACACGGGGGACAATGCAGGGTGCATGTTCTAGTGGTTTCTCTCATCTGGAAAGCTTGGACCTGGAGCTTCCTCACAAGGCCTACATGTTATGGGAGGTGGTGGGAGCTTTGAGGTGGGCCTGGTGGGAGGTTTGGGTCACTGGGGACATGCCCTGAAGGCATGTGGGATGCTGATTTCTTCCACTCTCCTCTTACTTTGCAGCTGTGAGGCGAGTGTCTTCCTCCCCCACGTGCTCCTGTCGCAATGTGCTGCCTCACCACAGGCCCAAAGCAATGGGGCTCATTGAACACAGACTGAAGCCTCTGAGACTTTTCTTCTTTCTAAAATGATCATCTTGGTTTTTGTGATAGTAGTGGAAGACCAGCTAACACAAACTTCAACACACTGCCTGACTGTCGGTGACTTTAGTCCATCGTAACTGGGCCCCAAAAGCCTCAGCACCATCATCCCCACAATCCGTACTTGCCTTCCGGGGGAGCACTCTGAGTCAGACCGGCCCACTGCCTGTCCACGGCACCCCAAGCTCAGCCTGGGCCTGGCCCACTGCAGGCCTTGGTAAATGCTTACTCCCAATGCACAACTGCACCACAGATGACAGGAGTCTGAAAAGCTATCCCCTGTACCAGAAATTCCCTTCCCTTCTCTACTTATCAAAATCCCCTCTGCTCCCCCTCAACCCCACCCCAGGCCCAGCTGGTCATTTTCCTTCTCTCTCTACTCGTGGGAGATTCTGGAGGGCAAAGACCCTGTCTGCCTTCTTCACAGCTAGGACTCTAATTACAGTTGGAGTTTGGCTCTTAGTATCTGCTCAATAAATTAATGCAGAATAAATGCAGGGTGATTTAAAAAGTAATGGCCTGTATTTAAGCCCCAGGACTTCCTTTCTTCCTTTGCCCTTCCTTTTCCAGACAACAAAGTATTTCCATGCCCAAGCCTCAGGGAAGAGCATGGTAGTTAAAAAGAAACAAAAATAACTGGTGGATTAAAAGCTCAGGCCCAGAGAGAGCTGGGAAGAACAATCAGAAAGGACAAGTGATTGATAGGAAATCAAGAGGCCACCTCCTGGTCAGGCTGGACAAGCTTTTTCTGAACTTGTTAGGAGAAAGGGTGGAAAAGGGAAAAATAAGATTGTAGGTGGTGGTGGTTCCCAGAGAAAGGTGGGGTTTTTTTGTTGTTGTTGTTGTTTTGGTTGTTTTTTGTTTTTCAGACTGGGGTTTGAACTCAGGGCCTATACCTTGAGCCACTCTGCCAGCCCTTTTTTGTGATGGGTTTTATTTTGAGATAGGGTCTCATGAACTATTTGCTGGGGCTGGCTTCAAACCACGATCCTCCTGATCTCTGCCTCCTGAGTAGCTAGGATTACAGGTGTGATCCGTCAGTGCCCGGCTCCCTCGTCAGAGCTACCACCAGCTCCAGAACAGCTGGTGTGGATTAGGAAAAGGTGTTCCCTTCAAAACACAGACCAGACCCAGACTTATCAGCACCCACGCAGAGAGTACAACCCATACAACCATCCAGGGCAGCCCTGCTCCAGTCTGGCCAAGTCGAGGAGGAGGTAGCAAGAGCTCAGACAGGGCTGTGGGGCCCGAACACAGGGAAACCTGTGCCTCACATCTCAGGTAGGGCTTTCATGAGCAGGTGGGGGTGAGGAAGCCCTGAGAACACCACAGGGGACAATGATGGCAGCAATCAGACTGCCACATCTCACCCACCCACATCACCACTTAGGGCACAGGAAGCCCCTGGAATTAGCCAAGACCCCACTAGGACTGAGGAAGAACCTCAAATAAACTGAGACTGTCTGGCACCCAGGCGGAAGGATTCAGAAGAGAGCCTCTGCTGAGTGACAAAGAGGGGGCAGCGAGACCCAGCCAGGTATGGGCTTGGTTCCGTTTTTAACAGCCAGGCTCCACATGCATTTGTTGAGTGAATGTGGAATGAATGACAATAGCTCACCTTTTTCTGTAACCCTGATTTTCCTGTGGCTCATTTAATGATCACAACCTCGAAGTCTCTCTGACAAGAATGCCAATGGGCCAGCTTATTCAGCTCTGTGCCCTGCACAGATGTTGGAGTGCTTGCTGTCTGTTAGTCAATTGAGTCACTATGTTAAGAATGGGCAATTCCTCTCCAAGTCCAGGATCACAGAGCTCCTTCCCTTTTCCTCCACTCCCCTCCTCTCCCCACTCTCTTCTCTCCTCCTCTGCAGGCTCTTCAGAGCAGAGGATTCCCAAGGCTGGAGCAGAGGGGACAGGCAGTCCCTCTAACACTGTTGAGCAGGGTGGCTGCAGGCCCTTATAAACAGTGTGTGAGGGTTTAAGCTATTTCCCAGTGCAAGGCGTGGCCCTGCTCCGTGACCCGTTAGCCTTGGTGTGCTCTGAGGAATGGCAGAGAGGTCAGGCCCATCAAGCAGGTGGGCAGGAGATGGCCACTCAAGGTCGGAGACACTGGGTCACCTTTGGAGATGAACGGGGGCTGAAGACTGGAGCTCCCCAGATGCAGCACACAGAGAGGTGGGTGGCACTCTAGGCCCTTGAGGCTCAGGCACAGGGACCGGCCCAGTTCAGCAGGCCATTCCCAGGCTTTCCCCGTGGCCTGGCCCAGCCTGCTCCTGGCTCCCAAGGTCACAGACCCACGTTCCACTCCAGGGCCTCAGATCATGATCACATATTTTCTTGTACCCCCTGAACTTGTGGATGTGACTTTTGTCTCCTGGCCGAGGTCTGTGGCCAGAAGGTCAACTCCTGCTGCTGCTGGCTGCCTAGCCCAGCTCTGTCTCCTAGCCAGTGTCCCTGAGCCTTCCAGGCTGCCATTTGAATCCCAGCTCTGCTGCTTGCTGGCTGTGACCTTCTCATGTTGCTTATGCTGGTGTAACCACAATGTCCATCTCCCCTCTTGACCTGTCCCTCTCCTCTGAATTCCCATGCCTGGGCACCTAGCACTGATCTCATTGCCAAGGTCAGCTGAACTACATGGTCTGACCAAACATGATGCTTCCCGGAGCCCAGGCGAGGCTCCATGTCCCTACGCCCTGTGTGTGCCTGTCTCTAAGTGGTGGCCTCAGGAAGGTGGGCCCTCTCTCCTTATCTTCTCTACGAGACCTGGGCCACACTGTCCCAGTGTTCGCCTTCCCTATTTCCTCCTGGGGTAAGGTGGGTGTTCCCCTTCTGTAGGGGGTGAAAAAGACCACACAGAGACAGAGAAGTTGCAAGCCATTTATTAAATCCAGGTGAGTCACCTCAGTACTTGAGAAAGCACGTGCTCGGTCCAGATGCCTGACCACTTCCCTCCTACAGCCTGCTACCTCTACCACATGGCAAAGGGACACTGTGCTATCTCCCAGGAGTTGAGGGGTCAGAGGATGATGCTGGTGAGTGGCTTAGATTTGGGGTGAAAGGTGAGGGTAAAGGAGGGGCCAGTTTGAGATCAGAAGGACCTAGGTTGGGATTTAGGTGATTGGAGAATGGGGTAGGACCCGAACCGAACTCCAGAGAGCAGAGGGCCATGTGCCCCCCAGACCCTGAGGTGGTGACATTCCAGGGGAGCCCTGTCCCCAGGTGTGTGACTGGAGCCCAGTGCTCCTCCTCCCACCTCTGCTAAACTAGGACACACTGCACACTCTACATGTCTACGGAACATTCGGTCCCCACCAGCCCTGGGCCTGGGGATGCCAGTGGGCTGGAGGTGGCAGGGCTTAGCCCTGGAACCCCAGTTCCTTGTACTTGGCAGCGATGTCATGCCGGAACAACTCCAGGGCCTTGCTCATGGCGCTCTTGGCATCGGCACCGAAGTCCCCAGGGTGCTTGCTCTGCAGAACGTGGATGATGGCTTCCGAGATGAACTGTAGAGAAGGGATAAGAGGGTGCCTGCTGGTCATGGGTTGGGATAAGCCACGAGCTGGGAAGGAATCCGGCTGTTTCCTTCCATTGCCTAATGCCAGGGCCAGCTACTGGGCACTTGTTAGGCTCCATGGCTCAACTCCTTTAAATCCTATGACCCCAAGAGAGAGGTACTACCATTCCCACTTTACAGATGGGGAAACCAAGGCACAGGGAGGTGAAGCTGTGTGCTGAGGTCATGTAGCCAGGAAGGGGCATTTGAACCTGATGGTGGCCTCCTGTACCCTTGTATTACTGCTCAGGTCGTGTACCCAGCTGCCACCAGGCAGAAGTGTATCACTACTGATGTGGGCAGCAGAAAAAAATGGATGCTCTGTTCCATTATTTTACACAGGATTCTGTGATTGAAAATCTTGAAGGAATCTACCTTCCATTTGTGTGGGTTTGATTTTTGTACTTATGACTTAGTTTGCTTTCAGGAGCCCATCTTGAGGGGCACAGCATCACACCTCTGTGGCAAGCACAGTGGTGGTGCTCTCAGACATTGGTGGGACAGAAATTGGTGGGAGAGAAATGGGGGATCAGACATTGGTGGGAGAGAAATGTTCTTGTGACTGAGCCCAAGAACAGTTATGATCAGGAGGATGAGGATTGGGACTGTGCAGTGTGACAGGCAGGCCCAGGTGTAAAATGCCACTGGGCTTCTCAGTGGACTTGGTCCCAGCCATACCCTGGCTGGTGCACTGAGTGGTGACATTTCACGAGGAGACAAGCAAGTGGCCATGCCGAGGTCACGTAGCAGGTGATCAGTGGAGCCAAATCTGTGCCTGGGGAACTGTGGATGAGCGGCTGCCAGGACTGGGGATGGTGAGGGGCTAAGACAAAGCTGGATTTCCTTTGTTTTCTCTGGGTCCCAACGTGCAAGTGACATAAAGCAGGGACAGGGGCTAGAGTAGGGGGTGGGGGAGGGTACAGCAGAAAAACACAAGTGTCACCACCCAGTAGAACCTTTAAACTCAGACACAGCTGCTCCACAAATATCCACCTTGGGGCCTTGGTAGACATCAGCTTAAATCCACCTTAAATTTCATAAATCCAGCAAAACAAAGTAGGGGGATGGGGTGCTATGGATCCAGTCCTGCCCTGCCCAGGTAACTTCACCCGCAAAATGGGGACTGAGAGGGCCCCCAGCCCAGCTTCTTCTGAGTCCACAGCAGAGCTGCTGGTGTCTAGACCATGGTGGAGTGGAGCAGCTGTGAAATGGAGAAGCAGAAGCAACCTTCAGCACCCACCACCCTCTGGATCTCTTTGTCCCTGAGAGGGACGAGCGTCCATGGGTGATAGGGAGAAAGACTTGGGAAGAGCCCTTGGCGAGGGCCTGAATGACCTTTGGGCTCTGTCTTAATTTCTGCAGGGGCTGAACACATTTAGAGGGGTCCACCTGCTTCTGTCCACTGATTGGCAGGGTAGCCTGGGCTCCGTGGCTTCCTTTCTCCCCTGCAGGACTAGGTTGACACAAGGACAAATCAGAAAAATGGGGATGAGAAGCAGACAGACTGCTAACTGCCTGCCCAATATCCCTTTTCCCTTCTTCCTTCCCACAGAACACTGGTATTTGGAGTTTCCCATGCCGACAGGTGAGGCCTTGTAACTAACCTCTGACCAATGAGATGCATACAAAATTAGATGAGATTTCCAAGCATCCTTAACTCTTTAAAAGGGAACCTTCTTTTTCTCCTGCTTCCTACTTGGCATATGGGTGAAATGGCTAGAGCTCTTGTTGCTATCTTGGGTCATGAGGCAACTTTGGAGATGGACTCCATATGCTCAGGATGCAGCCCAGAAAGAAAAAGGCGCAGAGGCAACTGTGGGGCCCCTGCGCTAGCTCTGGATTCCCTACCTCTGGACTTCTTCCATGTGAAAGGAAAAGAGGATACTGCCATTCCTAACCTCAGCAGGTAACTGAGAATTCCATGGGGTGACCCAGGTGCATGCTGGGTGCTGTCCCCAGCATCCCGACTTCATGGCTGCACCATGAAGATCCCACTTCAGAGAGGTTTCTTCTGAGTCCTTTGTCTCCAGCTCCTCAGAGCCCTGTCCCATGTCCCTTCCCACACTGGCTATGGAGACAGACCCTGAAGTCCAGGGTACCAGGACTCCTGCCAGGTACCAGCGGCTGGTGCCTGGGGCATGTGCAGCTCTATGGCCTCTGTGAACCCCACAGTGAGCCCCAGTGGCTGAGTTCCTGTCATGGAGTTCTTTGCATCACAGATTTCTAAAGGCATGGGAGTCAGGCATGGGATTCTAGGGTGACAGTGACCTCTGCCTCTGCCATTTGCCACCTCTGTGACATCCACAAGCTGCTCCACCTTGCGGTGCCTCAGTTTACTCATCTGTGTGGTGGGTCTAATTAGGGCTCCCACCCGTGGAGGGAACATAAGTTGTACACCAGATAGCCACTCCCCCCGTGAGGTCCTGACTTGGCACAAGGAACAAGACACTACGTCTGAGACACTGACCGTGTTTGCCCTCAGGGGTCCCAGGAGCAGGCAAGGGAGGGCCGGTGCAGGTTGCAGATGAAACACCAGAGCACAATCCAGCTGAGACTCCATCCCAAATCTCACCCTACCCTCCCACTGTCTGCTGCCTCCTACCTCCAGGTACTTGATGGGGATCTTGTGCTTGGTGGCATGGGACTGGGCCAGGGGCTTGATCTCCGCCTCATGATGCCCCTTCTTCTTCAGGACGCCACCCAGGGCAGTGAGCACCGTGACGCCATGCTTCTTCAGGTCTTCGGAGGCCTTCATCTCATCCTCTGACTTCAGGTGCTTGAACTTGTCAAACTTCTCCAGGGTCTCAGGGTGGCCCTTGAACAGCCTGGTGGACAAGGAGGGCTGGAGTGAGACATGGGGACTCATACACTCCAGGTCAAGTCCAGCTCCCCCCCTCCCCAGCTGTGTGACCTCAGGCAAATCACTGTACCTCTCTGTGCTCAGCTTCCTTATCCGAGGAATGGGGTTAATTGTCCCTACCTCAAGGATTAATTGAGATAGTCTATGCCACATGCCATCAGGGTATCTGGTACGTAGTAAGTGTGCTTGCTATTATTTTATTATCACCAGCAGCCACTCTTCCTTGTCTTCATGGTTACTGTGAGAGGCAGGAAGGACAAAGACATCCCTGCATATCTGGTCTGTGCACGGCAGGGTGCGCTGGGCTAATGGGCCCTGAATTGGCTGAGTGCCGGCTTTGTGCTGGCCCTGTGCCAGGCTGCCACCTGCATCTCCCTTTAGCATCACTCACCTTGTCCCCATTTCACACATGAGAAAAGAGGGACTCAGAGGTCTGATGTCAGGGCTGTGTGCAGAGCAGCCAGACGGAATTCAGGTTCAAGTGGCTCGGAACGCAGTGCTGACCTGCACGGTGCCTGGTACAGCCCTGCAGCCTCCTTCTTGGAGGCTGAGCTGCTGCCTGTCATGCCATGCACTGGCCCTGTGGCTCCCAGGGCCCCTGGGACCGATGGCAAGGGGCCCATCAGAGCCACTGATCCAGCCCTGGCAGCAAGCAGGTGCCTATACCTACTGGCAGCTGCTTCCAACCTGGGGCCAGGTCTCTCCCTGTGAGAAGGTGGCATACATTAGCAGGGTCACTGCTACCCCCATTCCACTCACAGGCAGATGGAGACCACAGATGGAGGCCACTTGCCCTGGGTCATGAGGCAGATTGGAAGCAGAGCCCAGTCCCAAATGCAAGCCTGGCCAGTGCTGTGATTCACACACACTTTCCCCCTCATATTGTACCCTGACGTGTCTGGCAGGGGTGACCCTCTGCCCAGGGCTTCTCTCCTTTGGCAGGGACATTGGGATCCTCAAAAGACTTCTCTTTTGTGGCTGGCAGGCTCTGTGGTGTCCTTACTATCCCACTGTGGACTCTTTCAGTTGCGTTCTGAGCCACTGTGCCCAGAAGTTGCTGGAAACCCCCAGTGCCCCTGGCCTCTGTCCCAGGGTCCGGTGGAGAGGACCTCCTGTGACCAGGACACCATACTTCTATGCATTGCAGCTGAGCGTGGCGGCCATGCCTGGGATCCCAGCACTCTTGAGACAGAGGCAGGGGGATGAGTGTCCCAAGCTAGCCTGGACTACACACCTAGACCCTGTCTCAAAACTGAAAAACAAAGCAAAGTAGTAAAGTGCTTTGCACTTTATTTGTAAGCAATTCAGTTGCTCACTGAGTTCCCAAGCTTGGGGAGCAGCCTCCACTGTGACCCTTTTCTACAGAGAAGGAAGCAGCACACAGCAGCGGGAGGTGCTGCAGCTCTCTGGTCACACAGCCCTCTTTCCTCTGCCACCAGGCACAGTGAAGATGCACAGAGCCCCCACTCCCCTCAGCAGCAGAAGGAGCAAGGAGGTTGCATGTCCGGGTGCGGAGGGTGTGGGGCTGAGTCTGTGCCCCGGCCTGCATGTTCGTGTGGGAACACACTCATCTCATGAGCAGCCGGGTGACTGACAGAGCCACAGGGACCCCAAGGATGAGAGGGACTTGGAGTAACAAGTGATTCCAACCCCCTGGCCCCCACACATGGTTGTTCCCAGCAGAGACACGCTCTCTCACTACTCTGTATTTACTACTCATGGGTAAGTAGCTCTCCCACCCAGCAGGGAGTTAGTTTGCTAAGTCCTAGGTATACACTTGGAGATACACAGATGCTCACCGTTAATGCCAGAGTCTGATAATCCCAACCCACACTGGGGTGGCACTTATTGAATTCTCCCAGTGCTGCACAATTACCAACTCACTGAAAAAGCCTGATGAAGCAGGGTCCATGTGACAGCTGTGGAAACCGAGGCACGGGAAGCCCAAGTGACCCTGGGGATTAAGCAGGCAGTCTGGCTTCCTATCTACATGCTAGGTGACCGCTCAGGCTTTGTCACTGTCACATAAAGACATTCCAATGCAAAGTGAAATGTACAAACCCAGGTGCACAAGCATTTGTCGTCACAGATGCATGTGCACACACAGAAGTGCACACCCCAGCTCACGTATGCAGACACGTGCGTCCACAAGTGGGCTCTGCATGGACAGGAGCGGTGCCTCCCCTGGGGGCAGACCTTTGTGCTCCTCCCGGGTGCCAGGTTTGTCCACAGCCATGGCCACAACATAACTCCAGGACCCTGTCCAAAGCCAAGTGCGCCACTGACAGCTCTGGCACCCTCATCCAAGGGTCCCTGAATTCCTGACTATTATTATCTGGCGACAATGATCCTGGCATTCCCACTGACAGATGGGAGACCTGATACCCACAGGCGGAGGCCCAAGGTCAGAAAGCTGGAAGGAGACTGGGGCAGACAAGGGGCCAAGGTCTGGGGACCCAAGGCAGGCAGCTGGGGATTTTGGCTCCCCAGTGTTTAGGGAAGGAGTTAGGGAAGCTGGCCCCAGCTCTGGCTCCAGTGAGCTGTGTGGTGCTGGAGTACTCACTCAGCCTCTCTGGATCTTGGCTCACTCACGGGTAAGCCAAAAAGGCTGGCATAGATGACTTTTAGCCTCCAGAAAACTTGCCCAGGCCTTGCCCTCCATGAGTGGCACCATCCAAAGGGAGCCCATACTTAATTACTCCATAGCACCAAAGAAGGAGTGAATCAGCTCCCGCTAGGTCATTCTGTCACCACTCAGTCACTAGTTCTGCCAGCCAAGGCCTGCCCTGGGTGGGAGTCCCTGGGGCAGCCTGGAAGGCTTTGCCCTGAGTTCCCTGACCCCAGCAACTTGGAGGTGAGCAGAGGGACGCCCCCGGCCCTGTAGACATGGCAGAGGATGTCTTCTCCAGGGTCTCATGGCTGCCTGAGCCACGGTTTCACCTTCAATCCCATGGTTGATCTGCCCAGCTCAGCAGACAGGTCATCAGGCACTTAGAGATGGAGCCCACCTCTCTGCGGTCCTCTGAATAGAGGCTCAGTTGGACATTCACATGAAGCCCCAAGAACTTGCTCCAATCCATAGAAACCTATCAGATTCTACTGGAACAAAAGACCCTGAGGGTGGCTGGAAGTCTGCTACCAGCATTGCAGTCCATGGGGGCCATATAACAGAGTTGTCAGAAGCAGAGAGGCTCCATCCAAGCAGCCTGAATTTGAATCCCAGCCCCTTCTAGCTGTGTGCCTTTGAACAACTTACTTAACCTCTCTGTTCAATGTGATGATAGTAATATTATGAACTTGTGGTGAGGCTTAAGTGAGTTAGTAAAAGTAGAGCACCTAACACAGGTCCTGGCAGTCAGCATGTCTGCTACACCCATTTGCTGTCTCTCTCCTCCCCCTCGTCTTCACCTTCCTCATCCCCATCATCACCATCGCCATTATCCTAACCAGGAGTCTTAGGGCTGCCTGGGGCTGACATTGGCTGGTTGAGACTCTGGGCTTTCTTCCTATAATGTGAGAGGTTGTAGCCACCAGCAGTGGTTTTTAAACTTTCCTTGGTCTCAGAGGAAACAAATGGACAAACGAATACAGCAGGAAAGGTTTGACAGGAGACTGCGAGGCAGCGTGGGGTCTGTGCACAGTCCCTCCCTCCCACCGCCTACTGGAGCCAGCAGCTGCTGTGGCTACACAGCTTCTAGAACTCTGTGGTCCTCAGCAGCCTTCTTGTGAGTAGTCAGGGCAGTAGAGAAATGCCAGCACAAAGACCAGGGTCAGCATCTGCAACAGACAGAGAGAACAGCTCCCCGGGAGCCACTCTGGGAGTTAGCCCACCTCCTTGTGCCCCAAAGATGATCAGCCAGTGTCATCTCGATGTCCTGCAGCCAGAGACACAACAGGCATCACGCCCTTGGGGCAGGGCAGATCTGGGCATCATGTCCTGCCCTGCCCCCCGCAGGCCTCTCCAATGTTTCCCCAATGACGCACGCCTTGAGTCTCCTTCAGGACACCTAAGTCATTGCCTTGAGGCTGGAAGTCCCTGTCACCTCAGAAAGCCCACTGCTCTGACAACTCTGGTCCCTCCTCTACCCCAGTGGCCCTGCCTGCTCTCCAACAGCAAGGAGGACCCTGCACTCCGAATCCCAGGGCACAGGAAGGTGAGATCTTAGAGATAAGAAAGCCAATCCCTTCACTTGACCAGTGGAGAAACAAGGCCCAGAGAGAGTAGTGCCTTATCCAAGGTCACACAGGAAATCGGCGGCCTAGGAGCTGATGTAAATTTGGTGGAGGGACTTCAGTCCAGTCAGATGGGCCTGTCGAAGTCCCAGCTGTCAGAGACCAGGAGAAAGGCGAGGGAATAACCTAGGGTGCCAGCAAGACAACAGGAAGCTGGCTCTCATTTCCTATGTCCTCAAGCATGGACGTCCAAGGGCTCCAACTTGAAATAGCCCTTCTCCCAGAGAGCCCTTTCCCCCAGGCACATGGGATGGAAACAGGCAAACGCCGAGGGACACAGAAAGGTCATCTGAGTGAGGAGGAAAGTGGCCTCGCTGATAAATGGAGACATCCATTTGCAAATTAAAACTTTCAGAACAAACGGTGGGTCTGGGGCAGCCGGGGACCCACTTCCTCCAGAGTGGAAAAGTCCCCCAGCCCATCAGGCTATGGACTCTGTGAGTCCAGAACGTGAGGGAAGGTGCTGGGGAAGAGTCCAGCACCGTCTGGGTGGGAGACAATGGGACATGAGATTCTGAGTACGGACCACAGCACCTAAGTTCGCCACACTAGGAATTTGGGGGGGCTGGAGCGTATTCAGGAGCTCTTTGCGATGAGAGACAAGATGTACTTCGAGACCACCTCATTCTGAGCTCCCATATTCAACACACACCACCACCACAGGCAACCAATAGCTTCCGCCCCAGCCCTGCCTCTGTCTTCTGCTCTCTAATTATAGAGCGTCATATCTAACAGTTACTAACATTTCTGGAACTCGCTGTAAGGCTAGGCTCCTTATATGCTTCACGTCTACCCTGTGATGTAGCTATTAGGATTTTCCCTTGTTGTACAGGAGAGGACACTGAGGCTCAGGGAGATTGAGTGTCTTCCCTAAGGTAACAGAGCTGCATAGCGACACAGCCAAGTCCAGATCCAGAGCTGTCTCACCTTGAAGGCTATGTTTTAGTCTCGATATTTATGGACTTTAATGGGCTGTGGTTCTGGGGACATCATCCACTCTGGGTCTTCATCTAGTAAGAAAGGGGGCTGGACAAGATCTTTTTGACTGTCTTTAATTCCCAGATTCCTCCTGGTGGGCTCCAGGCAGCAGAGATGGATCCTCAAGCTTCCTCCAGCTGCTGACACCACCCTAGATGGATCTCTCTTTCTTTCCTGAATCTAATCCTGATGCTTAAAATCAAGGGAAAACTGAGTGGCAGTTTCCCTCATCTGCAACCACCAACTGTTTTACCTAGGGCCAAATTTCACCCTTGTGTTTGAGCATGTGATCTTCGGGGCATGGGTGGAGGGGGCATGGGGTTCTCTTTTACCTGATGAGGACTTCCTGCCCGTGGCCTGCGAGGTCAGCCTCCACCTTTCCCCAGACCTTCAGCACCAGCTGCCATTCCCCATCACTGAGCCCCATGGTGGCGTCTGAAGAGGACAAAGAGCAAATGCAGGTTGAGAGCTGGGTAACAGGCCAGGCTGTTGGGGTTTGAGGTAGCCTGGCCCAAGGGGTTTTTATACCGTCCCGGGTGCCTGCCATGATCAGCTGATGCTGCGTGCTCCCCTCCCCCGCCCTTCTTGTCCCACTCTCCCCCATGGCGGGGGGGGGGGGTGGCGGGGGGGGGTGGGGGGAGTCCTAATCTCGGCCTTTCTCCAGCCCTCACATGGGCAGCTATTTTGGGGCAGGTGCCATTGTGGGAGGTAGGACAACTTGGGCCACAGTGGGTGGGGGTGTTGAGGAGGAGGCCAGGCCACTGTCTGAACTTTCATAAGCCAATAGAAAGGGCACCACAGAGCCCATGGCCAGCAGCCTGAAACCCAACTCTCCTGCTGTCAGCCCTCCCAAGAGGGCCTGTCATGTTCTAAGCTTGGACACAGGTGTCCTGATGGCCCCGGACAGTCTCCTCTCTCAATTCCTGCCCCTGCCCCCAGCTGGAAGTGGTGGGAAGGAATCCTTACAATCAGGTGGACCCCCTAAAGAATGCCTGACTCTGTGAACCAGCTCACACATCCCCTGAAAGTCGTGTCAGACATGCTTCTTCGAGGCTCAGTTCCTTCCGCCTACTTCCATCTACCTGTGCTGGCCTCCCACTGCACCACACTCCTGTTTCATGGGCTCCCCTAGGGTAAGAGCAGCCGGGCCACCCAGACTGCACTTTATATTTGGTGGCTCTGTTAATCCTCTGGGAGCCCTATGTGTAGCCACTGATTGTCCCCATTTAATTGAAGGGGACGCAGGGACGCGAGCCATTGTCCCCCCCAGTTGATGGCAGAGCTGGCAACTGAACCTAGAAGTCTGATCCAAAGGCTATGCTTTTGAAACCTTATTTGGGTTTTCATGAGGGGCTCTGTTTTATTCATCTCTGTGGCTCTTGGGTCTCACACAGGGCCCTGAATCAAATTTGAACTAAATAAATGTTTGTTGAATAAAAAGATGGATGGCCTTGCAAGGAAAGCAAGTGGAAGATGATTGGGCTCAGTTTATAGCCAAACTTCCCTTCATCCCTTCCTCCCTTTCTCCATCCATCCATCATTTTTCCATCATCCATCCATCTGTCCATTATCTTTACATCCATCCATCTATCCATCCATCTATCTATCATTATTTTTATATCCATCCATCATTCATCCATTAGCCATCCATCCATCCATCATACATCCTTCATCCCTCCATGCCTTTCCCCCTCCATGTACCCATCCATCATCCATCCGTCATTCATCCATCCTACAAACCATCATAGGGTACCTACTGTATGTCAGCTATATGCTAAGGATAACAAGATAAAATAAAACACATTACTTGTTCAAGAAACTCACAGCATCCTTGAGGAGGTGAAAGCAATGAAAATACAGTAGAGTTTAGTTAGTGATGTGATCAAGCTATTCACAGACCCTCTGCTTGTGCACAGGGCTTTTCTGTTTATAAAGTCCCTCCACAAGAAGATCACTTCTACCTCTCCCACCCCCACCCTGCTTCATCCCACTTATAGCCATGGTTCAGAAGGGATCCTGCTGTGTTAGCTCTGCCCTGAGCAGTCACCAGCAGTGACTATCCACCCATATGACTCTTTTTAGAGACACAGGCCCTGCCCTGATGAGGTGCAAGTTGGGCAGCCACATTCAAAAACCACGTTTCTCTCCCAAACAAGTGGCCAGTTGCAGCTGATTGGGCTAGGACTGGCACCCTACCAGAGGCAGTCAATGGAAGGGCTCCGTCTGGCCAAAGTCTGTTAGCTCCACCAATCAGATCCCTTCTTCAAACTGTGACCAGGGTGTTTGGTAGGATTTGGCCAGGTAGTGGGAAATGAGGAAGGAAAAGAGTGTGAAATTCACAACCTGCACTGGACAAGAATCCAGAATTAGAGCTTCGCTGTGCGGCCTGGCTGTGGTGCACCCTCTCTCTGGTCCCTTTAAGGATGGCTAATGTCAAAGATCACCATGGGTTGCCACTTCGCAAATGACCCCTGTGTGTCCTTCCAGGGCATCAGCTGATGGCCAGTGAGCAAAGGGGCAGAGGCACCTAGGCTGCCCGTGGGTGGCCCCTCCCAGAAGTTAGCCCAGGAGGCAGAGCCCACAGGCCTAGGCACTCTCCTGGCCTTAGCAGTGTGGCAGCCAAGATTGCATGTGGATTTTCCAGGGCTGTCTGCATGCATTCATTCACTTGTTCCTTTGCTCATTCCTTCACCCCACAGCCCCGAACCGAAGCACTGGTCTGTGCCAGCATGGACAGGAAAGGCAAGTCTGAGGGTCTGCACCCTGCTCAGACCAGCTTCAGCCCCTACCGCTGGTCATTGGTTGGAGATGAGTCCAGGGTGCGGGAGAGGAGGTCAGAAAGGAGGTTGCAGTCAGCTGCCCCCGGCTGGCTGGGGCCACCTGCCCTGTGCACTGGGAAGACAGCTGGGTCACCTCCTCAGCACCCTGCCAGGATCTGCAGCTCTAGGTCCTGATTTATAACCAGGGCACAGGCACTCAGGTCACAGTGTTGTTTTCAGACACCTTGGTGCCAGTCCCATGCAGAACAACCCAGAAGGGTGGGCTGGGTGGGGCTGACTATGACCGGAATCCCCAGCTCTTCTCTATCTCCAGCCTCCTGAGTTGTCTAGGGACAGCCTGAGTATTTAAAATCTCATCAACCCGTTAGCCACGCTAAAGTGTTTAATGTGAAGCTGTCACCCGCTTGGCAGGCACTCCATTAAAATGGCGCACTCATGGAAACCTGTGGCTTCCAACTGACGAACCTTTTAAGTTTTACCATTTAAGCTAATGGGGAGGCGCTGACATCTGTGTGTACTTACGAATCGCCACAACAGAGTGCCTGCCTCATGGTTGCTATGGAGACTCAGTCGCCAGCTCTGTTTGGGGGCTGTTATTCTTGCTGTCACAGCCTTGGCTGGGCAGGGAGGCTACAGACACACCAGAGAAAGGCCAGGCTGCCTCAGTGTCCAAAATTCTGCAGCCTTACACACTCACGTTACACCTGCATGTGGGTTAGCTTGACACCCAGTGGGGCAAACTGGATCCCAGTCAGACCCACTACCCTCGTCATATCCCAGGTTGCTTTGAGTCCCATGAATCTAGTCGAGTTGGCCTCGAGTCTTTAAATTCTGAAGTCTGAGATTCCAGGATGAAAATTCTAGAGTACCATCCTAGAAAACTCTAGAGACTTGGGTTCTAGATTCCAGCCATGGAAAGCTAAAGATAGAAACAGCTAGAACTGTGGGGCCACAGTGCCTTGAAGGTAAAGAGGGCTTCCATGGTGTCTCATCCAATTTCCTACTAAATGTCCTTCTTCTTACTCATCTGGCATCGGCTTGAACGCTCCTAGGAGCAGCGTGCTCACTATGTACAGCTGTAAAACTTCTCGATGTTAAGCCAAAATGCCCCTTCTTGTCACTCGCTGCCTTGCTTGAGTTCTGCTTGCTCCCTCACAGGAGGGAAGTCTCAGGCTCACCTAACAGTTTTCTTGCCCAGATTAAACATTGCTGGGTCTCTGACACCACCCAGGTGAGGCAAATCAGGAGCTCAGCCTGGTGGAGGAAGACAGGTCTATCTTCAGTCTCTGCTCTCCGGCACACAGAGAACTCTTTAGCAGGGGCCTTCCAGCACCTGCCTCAAAGGTGTGAGGCCTGGGAGCTATGTCCCCCACCCCCATCTTTTCCAGGGTGAGAGTCCACTCTGTGTGACCTGTGAATTTGGCAGCCCTGACACGTGGCAAGTCTGGGAGACTTTTCCTCCGCAAGGGAGGCCGAGGATGTAGAAAGAAAGGGCACTTGAGCTTGGAGGTTCCTTCAGTTTTGACCACCTGCCCCCATCTTCCTGGGACCTAGCCTTTCAGAGGCCAGTCTGGACTTGTGGGGTTTCTGCCCCAGCCCTTCTACACCAGGCCCAGCCCATGCCTCCTGGCCAAGTCCACCCTCCTGGGACAGTGCCAGGCCAGGACTCTCACTGGGCTGGGGCTAGAGGTCATAGGACCTGCTGGGGCCCTCAGTGGGGCAGAGAACCCCCGAGCTTATTCCAGACCCCCACTAGAGCCCATCACCCACAGCTGCTCTTCTCCAGCCCCTCAGTGGCATCATACTGACCACGTCTCCCTTCTCCCCAGCCGTCTTCCCGGGGCTTGGCCAAGGCTGCGGGCAGGGAGAGGTAACTTATAGCAGTCTGGGAGCGGCTCAAGGAACTAAAAATACATTTTACACGAAGGCTCCTCCTCTCCCTGCAGGCCAAGAGGGGTTTATTAGTGGAGGACTGACAAGGACAGGAACCACATGCCCCAGGCAACAGGTGTGGCCTTGGGAAGCTAGCCTTCCTCCCCCTGCCCTGCCTAGCGTCACCCTGCACCTGTCACCTGGGTGGAGCCAGGCTCCCTCCACAGCCACCCTGGCCCCATCCCTCTGCTTTGGGGTGCAGCCATTGTGGACTGGCTTCTCCCCATTCCTGCCCTGTGAGCACCTCAGAGGAAGGAATATAAAAGCCAGGAATACACTGCGCTTACTGCGTGCCAGGGCGTGGCTCCTCCCAGAGCCCTTTCTTTGTAGTAGACATTTTATAAGCCCCACTTTATATATAAGGAAATGCAGGCACAGAGAAAAAAAGTTGTCCAAAGTCACACAGTTAGGAAATACTAAGATCAAGACTGGAGCCCTGGCAGTCTGGCTTCAGATGTGTGTTTCATGGCCTGGGAGTAGTCTAATTTTGGGATTCTTTCCTTTCATCCTCTCATCATCCTGATTGTACTAGCAAAAGTCCAGGCCAATAAGCTCTTCATTGTATGAAGTCAGTCAAGGGTCCTGGCTCCCAGGAGCAAAGACTCTTGCAACCTTTTCCCAATGGCTGACAATCAGGGGTCCCTGCTGCCATCTAGTGGCTATAGGGCAAAACATTCTTTGTTCTTTGTTCATCCCTCCTTCCCCTCTGCCAGCCAGGATGGAGGTCTTTCCTGTCTCTGTGTTCATGGCCTCTTATTTAGAAGACTGGAATGGCTTTCCACATTACTAAAAGAT